GCGTGTGTGTGTGTGTGTGTGTGTGTGTGTGTGTGTGTGTGTGTGTGTGTGTGTGTGTGTGTGTGTGTGTGTGTGTGTGTGTGTGCATCGCTACGTGACGCTGTTGTCCTCATTTCGTCAACGTCGCCAATCGTTTATATATTTGTCTCTCTCTATAATATATATATATCCCAACTATAGTCGTTACTGATCTAGGCGAAAAATAGGTAGTGATTAGGCTTGATGTCAATGCCGTAGATGGCGGGAGTGAGTGAGTGAGTGAGTGAGTGAGTGAGTGAGTGAGTGAGTGAGTGAGTGAGTGAGTGAGTGAGCGAGCGAGCGAGCGAGTGAGTGAGTGAGTGAGTGAGTGAGTGAGTGAGTGAGTGAGTGAGTGAGTGAGTGAGTGAATGAGTCAATCACTGATGACGGAGTGTGTTTGTCGTTCGGTCAGGTATCTAGGCGACGCCGGATCCGGTGACAGCGATGTCGCCGTCACCCCATATCGGCTCTTCGACGTTGTAATCGTATAGTGTTTTCGGCTGCGTGTACTCGCGACCCTCTCTGCGAAAGAAAAGAAAGTTTTACGAACGCGTAAGAGCAGTCAGAAGAAACGGGTTAACGGTTTAAGATCCTATAGACGATGGTGCGAACGTTCTGTATGTTTGTATGTGTTCTCTCTCTCTATATATATATATATATATAAATATATATTCGGCTGTTAAATAAATATATACGAATACGGAGAATAAATATAATGATGTTGAATACGAAAATCAAGCCTGTGTGTTCTCTCGCATAGTTTCACATATAAATATAAAGATGTTGAATAAGAAAATCAAGCCTGCGCGTTCTCTCGCATAGTTCCGCATATAAAGGTGTTGAGCAAGGAAATTGAAGCTTGCGTTCCCTCGCGTAGCTTTGGCATATAAATATAAAGATGTTAAATAAGAAAAATCAAGCCTACATGCGCGTTCTCTCGCAGAGTTTTCGACGAACGCGGTCAACCAACAAACGCACGCACCTGTATGTATAGTCGTAACCACGTTGCTGCAGCGCCCCTTCGAAACCTCTCCCTTCGTCCTTGCCGACGATGCTACCGGTCGCTGTGCCTCGCCTATCAAACGACAGACGGGCCGCTCTCTCGCCGTTCCCTCGCAGCGAGCTCCGACTAACGGGACCGTACGTCACCGTGCTCACCGACCCTGGAGCGGTGGTCGATGCGCGGCGAGCGGGTTCGTAACGATTTTCGCCGCCGGATGGCGCCACGTTTCGGTTGGCGAAGTTGGCGAAGCTCGTGCGGCGATCGCTGAGGATGCTGACGGGACGCTGCGGATGCGGACGATCGGCGGAAGAGGAGAAAGAGGAGGAGGAGGGGAAAGAGGATGAGTAGGAGGAGGGAAATGAGGAGGAGGAGGAAAATGAGGAGGAGGAGGAGGGGAAGGAGGAGTGGGCGAGTGAAGCCGCGTTGTTGGCTTCGGACGACGTGCTTGGGGACGCGTATCGTCGGTACATGAGAACCTGCGGTCGTCCCCGCAGTGGCACCCGCCTCACGTATACGACCGTGCTCGCGTCGCCGCGCGATGGAGGCGACATCACGTCGAACACGTGCGCGGACGAGCGACCGGTCGGTGGCGCCCTCGGGTGGACGGAAATCGAAGTATCGACATTGGATGCTGCGCGGTTGTGTTCCGAAGCGTCACTACGTAGTTGAGGGCTTTGGCGAAAACGCTGCTGCTCGCTGTTCTTAAGTTGAGAACGCCTTCCTGCGTTGCCGCTGTTTATTTGATACCTCCTTCCTATGCTGTTTGTGTTTATTGTATAGCTCCGTCCTGCACTGTCTTTGTTAAGTTGAAAACTCCTTCCTGTGTTACCTGATCGTAGGCCTATTTGATGTCCCAGTCCTGCGTTGCCTGCGTTCAGTTGGAAACCCCGTTCTCCATTGTTTGGGTTTAGTTGAAAACTCGCTCTTGCATTGTTTGCGTTCAGTTCGAAACTCTGTCCGTCCTTTCCCGCGTTTTCGTCGGCAGTCGACGCGACGATGTCCGCGTTTTGGCGCGAGATCTTCCCACCGTCGCCAACGTTCAGCGGAATGTTCCTCCGCTCGTTGTTCCGCGTGCGCGAACTCAGCTGCGCGACGTTCTCGATGTTCTGATGCGATATCCGATAGATGTCGCCACCGTTGCTTGCCGACGGGCGCGTCGCCGACGGGCCGCCGTGTCGTTGAAGATTTCCGCTATTGTCGAGCTGGTGGAACGCGGGTCGATCCAAGTAGTCGAGGTGGACACCGTCTGGAGTGATGTAGACTGCCGCCGCGTACGCTAGCATGTACAGAAGCGTGCACGCTGCTGCGGCCGTGCGCCGTCTAGGGGAGCAATTCATCGTGCTAGCTGGTCACTGGAGCAGAAAAGCGTGAAGAGCGTAAGAGCGTGTGAGAGCGTGGTGAATGCGATTTAGGGAATTGCACTCACGCAATATACGACTTCACATTATGAATATCGCGCGTACATACACACGCACACCCTCCCGCACGCACGTACATACACACGCACGCACGTACATACACACGCACGCACGTACATACACACGCACGCCCTCCCACACGAACGTACAAACCCACGCACGTCCTCCCGCACGCACGTACATACACACGCACGCCCTCCCGCACGCACGTACATACACACGCACGCCCTCCCGCACGCACGTACATACACACGCACGTCCTAATTTCGGAACTACCCGATAGCGTCCCGGACGCTCCCACTTTGCAAGTATAACTATCGGTTTACTGGTTAGTTACTCCTATACCAGCGAAATGAGTTTATTGTTGTCTTTTCAATTATATAATAGCGGAGTACTGCACGATCACGTGTCAATTCTAGCAGTCGGTGACATGCAATGCGTGCAGCGACTGTTCATATGTGTGCGTGTCATGTATTAACGATTTTAAAAGCATCTACTCCGCTTAGCGAACTCTGAGCGAACTCTGAAATGGAGGAAGCGCCCCCCCCCCCTCCCACACACACACACCTCTCTCACGCGACTCTCGTCATAATCTATTATATGTGTCACGCGATATTCCCACATTGGGGCCTTTATACTATCAGCTTATTCCGGTCAAACAATATACGTCAGCGTCAGGACTAACCGTAGCCATGGTGACAGCAGTAGCAGGGGAAGCAGCATTAGCATACATGCGTGAAATATAGTAGCAACACCACTAGTAGAGGCCGGAACCTTGATGGCGCTTCACCACTACAGTGGCGCCGCACTGCGACGGTCGTTAGAATTAAGTTGCATGATGATTCTCTTAGATTTGGGGTGAGTAGAGTTTTTTCATTCGCCTTATTTTTATTTCGCGTGTTTTTTTTTGCGTTTGCAGATAAACTTTGTCTTTTTCATCAACATCGTGCGGATTCTCTTCACTAAGCTGCGAGTGCCGACAGACATACGTACTGCCGGTAAACAGAAATACAAGTGAGTATCTCTTTCTCTCTCTCTCTCTCTCTCTCTCTCTCTCTTTTTTTTTTCTTTCTATCTCTCTCTCTCTCTCGCTTTCTCTATCTCTCTCTCTCTTTCTCTCACTTTCTCTCTCTCTTTCTCTCCCTCTCTCTCTCTCTCTCTCTCTCTCTCTCTCTTTTTTTTTTCTTTCTATCTCTCTCTCTCTCTCGCTCTCTCTATCTCTCTCTCTCTTTCTCTCTCTCTCTCTCTCTCTCTCTCTCTCTCTCTCTCTCTCTCTCT